GGTTTATCAGCCAACTTTTCCACCAAACACGTAATTTTTGCTTTAGCGCGCAGAATTGTGTAATAAGCAGAAAAAGTAAGGTTGGAGTTACTTTTCTGGCTGTATTGGCTGAAGTTACTGTAGATGATCATTTTAGCTATTTTTACATATAATTTTTTCTTTATTTTATTAATAAAATATATTTTAAAAATAATTTTTTCTTAAATCAGCAGAATCAGCCAATGCAGCCACTTCAGCCAGAATTTCAGAAATTTCAGCAGAATCAGCCAAACCAGCCGATTTTCCTTCTACCAAACGGGCTCTAATTCTGGTGTCTTCCCAAACTTGCCTTATATAAATACCCCACATGAATATCAACGAAAGACACACAGAGCTAGGCAACTAGGCAAGTATAATACAGGTAAGTAAAGTAAGGGGTCGTTGTGATGAAAGGGAGCAGTGGTTCAAAGAAGATGGCAGCAAGTGTGCTGGTGCTGGTGCTGGTTTGCTTGGCCTGGAAAGCCCAACCCGCTGTGGGGAGGTTGCCGGGGACGGATCTGAGGGAGATACTGATGGTGACGGAGGCGGGGGTGGGCGGGGATTGGTGCCAAGAGCAAAACGAGAGCTGCTACTGGAGCCAGACGTGCTGCACCGGCTACTGCAGCGCCTGGACCGACGGCACCTGCATCTGCGTCGGAGAAGGCGGCCAGTGTGGCCTGCAGCACGGCTGTTGCGCCAACTACTACTGCGACGGCAACTTTTTCGGCACCTGCATTTCACGCGCTCAGGGCTAGCGCCGCCCGCTCAATAATTACATACGCCTGTCCTCCGTATGTATGAATCAATAAAATTGAACAGCCTAGCTAGCTAGCTAGCTTTTGGCATGCAATTTGGCCGGCGGTTTAATTAGTTGTTATTTACTCTCTTTGTGCCGTCTGTGACTGTTGTCATCCATTTCTTGTTTTCGTTCAATTAAACACGCAGTTATTTTCAAGATTTCATTTGAATGCCTTTCCGATTGAAGTTTTAGTTGAAATTTGGTATGGGTAAACTAGACTTAATGAATAAGATGCTAAAAAAATTTCATCAAAAAATTCCACCGGAAACTGACGCAAATGGTGACGGCGGGACAGAATCTGACTTATTTGACCCTTTTTATGCAATTTCAAGAATAAAATTGTTCTTGCTTTTTATGCACACATCGATGAACTCATATTTTGGTGTGAATTGGGCTATAGTTCTGTAATTATGTTGAAGCTGCAGGTAGGTGGTGACGTTTGATTGGTTTAACAATAAATGAGGTAGGGTATGATATCCGTAACAGCTAGCTAGGTTGGGCAGTGGCTGCTTACTACTGCGGACTACTATACTGGCCCGGCGGCTGTGATACATGTACCTTATCAGAAAACGTAACACCTACACCTACACTGCTACACATCATAAATTAGACGATTTCCACAATTTCCTATTTTTGGGGGAATTTGATTTTGGGGTGTTTGGTTAATGGCCTATTAGTCATTTTTTGGCTGATTTGACCAATATTGACCTTTTGACCAGATAAATTAGCTAATTAAATTGTTTGGTTAAATGGCTTTTACATTTAGCTTTTCATTTCAAACAGCCAAAAAATAAAACGCCATCATCCATAGCGTTTACTGTCGGCTGATACGTATGAAACACATACTTCCTCCGTTCCCTTTTAATTGCAACAGTCAACATTTCACGTTTGCCAACGCACAAGTTTGATCATTAATATCTTTTATTTCTTATTACTAAAAAATTTAAAAAAATCATATTTTGAAAATTTAGAATAAGAAGAATTTAATAGTATTTTTTTTAAAATTAATTTATAATACATTAATGAATAAAATATAGTCAAAGTAGAATATATGAATAGTGCAAAAAGTCCAATGTTGCGATTAAAAGAGAACGGAGGATAGTATATTCCAGTAATACCCATGTCTTACTTTTCGTCTCTCCCTCCAATTCGCTGAGCAGAAGAAGAAAAAAACTGGTTGTAGCAGCTTCCCCTGATCTACTATTATTTCCACCAAAGCCAAATAAATAACTCGATCTAGGAACAAACGTGCCTTTCATAGGTTCTTAGGTTCGCTAATTAACCAAAATAGACTCTTTCTCGAAGGATGTGAAATATTAGTAAAAGTATTCTTTTACTTGGTATAAATATTTCTCGATTTTTTTTAAATAGTTAGTACTTAGTAGTACTCCATTACTTTTGTCAATAAATTTTACTTTTTTAAATCATAAAATGGTTTAAATAGTGGTATTAGTCACATTAAATAAAAATTAATTGATGTCATTTAACAAGGTATCAGCTGATTATAAACAGCCATTTAACCAAACACAATTTTACAAACAGCTAATACTATCAGCTAATCAAAACAGCCAACATAATCCGCTAACATCAATCAGCTAACACAATCAGGCAACAGCTAACAGCCAACGGCCGTTTGTCAAACACCTCCTTTACGTTTTTTAGGGGTGATATTAGACTTTATACCTTAATTTTTAATTTTTTGACTTTATACTTTTTTTACTTATTTTTTTTGACTTTGCACTCTATTTTGAATTTTTTATTTACAAAATGTTATGTGTTCTGGAGCAAAATCAAAAGTTTTTCAAAATTAAGTGCAAAGTCGAATATCATCCAACAAGTAAGGTGCAAAGTCAAACCATAATTTTTTTGCACACTTTCGCTCATTTAGAAAAAAAACCATAATTATATGTTTCAAGGTTGAATCCCCAACGTTTAGACCCCTCATATTCTCCGATAAGACATTTGAGAGATTATAAGGCATGATCACCCAGTCAACCTAATAGTGATAGACCTTATACCAGAGATCTGGGTCAGCACATATAAGCTGTGACCTCCACACGATTACTGCAGATTTTGATATTTGACCAATGTTTAAACTTTCTCACTACCAACTAATTGAGCTATCTATGCTGATTCAATAATTATATATGTATACATGTTGATGTATAAAAACTATACACACCTTTGGTGTATACACAAAAAAGTGACTCTTATAGGAAAGAAAGCAATGAAGATGAAATAGAAATCAACTTGGTCCACCTTTGGTGTATACAGAAGATGTTTGCTCTAATGCTCTCCCCAATTGGAGTGCCATGTGATGGAAATAAATCTACCGGAAAATAATTAATAGATAGCCGAAAATAATTAAAGCACTCAGAATAATACTTAGAGAGATAATTATATGTAGTGTATTCAATGTATTCAGCTTGATCGTTCTTCCAAGAGTTACATGAATTTATAATACAATATTGAGACAAGAAATATTTGGGCGACGTGGTCGCCATGCCTGAACTGACGCGCCACCATCCTCTGATTTGTAGGACTGATTGCAAGTTGACCCGTGATCTTCAAGATTTGTTGTTGGTCACGTAGCTTCTGGAAATTAGCATCATGCATGTGCGATGGTCTAAGCGCTTGTGCACCACGCGCGTAGAGGCTCACCATGTGATGCTCAGCAGGCCATATTCAAATCCCATGGTAGAGGTAAGACTGTGTCGTGCTCAACATGTCATGTCTAAGCCTCATTGTAAAGATAAACCATGTAATGCTCAACACGCCATATCTTTGTAAATGTGACTCCATGTTTCTCATCGCGAGTATGCTGACCATGTATTTCCTTGGGCCTGATGTCCATGTCCGTCTCGTCCATCTCATTTATGGGCTCAGCCTGCATTCCATCGAGCTTACCATATTGGGCCGGTATTTATGTCATCACAAGCCCCCCACTTCCCAAGCCGGGTAATAAATCGGTGAGAGGAAGTATACATCAACTACTCAAATAAAGACCACCATTTCATCTGTGTTAAGCACGTTGATGCCGAGCGCGTCGCTTAGAGCAGTATGCCAATGGTCCTCACTTTCGTCTGTGTTAAGCATGTCACCCCATAGGTTGTATGGGGTGTTACTCCAAGAAATAAATAATTAGTACATGTTGATCATGTCACTCCCAAGGCGTGCAGAGCATGTTGCTCCTAAGGTGTTATACCCAATAACCAATAAAGCGTACATGCTGACCATGTCAATCCCAAATTCAAGGCTTGGTGAGCATGTTCCTCATATGTGGTTACACCAAATAATAAATAAATCATCCATGCCGAGCATGTCACCCTTATGACTCGCTGAACACGCCGTCTCTAAGACCCGCTGAGCATGTCATTCGTAAGGTGTTCACCAAAACAATAAATAAATTGTCCATGCTAACGTAGACCTGTACAAACACGGGCTCGGGCCGGGCTTTATCTAAAATTTCTACCCACTTCAATGGGCGGGCCCAGCCCGACCCGGATCATACGGGCCTCTTCCCATGTCCATGCCCGCCCATACTAGCGGGCCGGGCGGTCCATCGGGCTGCCGGGCCCGAGAAAATTTAGCATTAGTTGATAGCATTTCTAAAATAAATCACAACATCTTAAAATCAATTAATAAGCTCAATGACATTAATTTGCCTTCATGACATACACTAACTACTTTGAGAAAAACGTTTATCCAAAACAATACCGTTAATTTAAAGTCAAACCATAAATTGAAACAAAAATGTCCAAACACTTCGAAAGCTTAAAAAGTCACCCATTACAGTCACTTTAAATTTACTTAGCAAAACACAAATAATGATTTAGCTCCCAGGAGTTTCAAGAGTAGGACTCAAGAGTAAAACTCGACTTGTCAGGTTACTCAGGTACTTCATTCCACTGCCTCTTCATGCCACATGTGTAATATATTATATGTATAATGTATTATATATTATTAAATATATATATTATATTTTTTCGGACCGGGCTTTTTGGCCCGAACGGGCCTACAATTGAACCCATACCCGTCCACATTTTTATCGGGCTCGGGCCGGGCCGGCCCGGTGGGAAAATATACATGTCCAGACCCGCCCGTGTTTGTACAGGTCTAATGCTAAGCACGTCACTTAAAGTATATACCGAGTAGAGTAGTAAGGATATTCATCTTGTACATGCTGAGCATGTCACCCCAATAGAATATCAATAGTCTTTCATTTGTACATGTTGAGCATGTCAAACCACGATATAACACCATGAGCCTTCGATTCGTACATGCTGAGCATATTACTTCGAAATTTCCCAATCAAGATCATTTGCTGATTCTCATCACGTCTCTTATATTACTACCACTCATTTTTAACTCAATCATTACTTTGTTTCAGCATGTAATTTTATATTATTCACCCAAAACTGTTCATCTTTCAAGAACTCCAACAGTCCAACCCAGTAGCTGCACCGCGGATGACATGCTGCTGTCGTGCCGGAGTGATTCTCCGCCGCCCCGGAAACACTGACCGCCACTTCCCTAGAGACGCTGACTGCCGCTGCCCCGGAGAAATTGAATATTGCTTGTCTGAAGAAGGTCGTCGTAGCTCTGGAGAAACAGAACCGCCGGCTTATTGAACCGCCGGAACGGCCCTCCTACTGTGCCTTACTATTACCACCCGTCATCGGCCAAAACCTCTGGCGTCGTTGTCTTCTCTTGTAGACTCCAGACCAAGGCCGGAAAAAGCCGCAGCTCCTCTTCCATTCGGCAAGTGGTTGACGAGGTCGAGAGCTCGACGCAACACCGCACGCCGCCACTAATAACCAAATTCAAGTATACTTGTATTTTTGAACCAATTACATATTACTATTATAAAGACATTATTTCAACATGTTGATTTTTAATGAAATATGATTCTTTAAGATTCTCATTTGTTTACTTCTAATAATTTTTTTATTTCAAAAAGTCCCTTTTTATTAGCCACTGATCTATTGTTACTTTCATGTTCTAATTTTGATATGTGGAGTGAGTTTAGTAACACTGAAATTGGCTACTTCACCCGATTCTTTTGAAATTGGTGAAATTTTGACAGAAGTGGCTGAATTGATTTAGTTTAAATTGATTCTTTTGATTTATGGATGAAATTAGTTTAAATTATATTTAATTATTGAAGTAAATAAAATATTATATGATTTTTTTTAATAAAACTAAAATTAAATAGATCAAATATGTTTAAAACAAACCAATAGTTATAAATATATATTTTCATATTTGTCCCTTTTTCCTTACAAATAAAGAATAATAAATTGAACTAAATTTAGAAGTTTTGTTTTATTAGCACTTGATGTGTTTATTATTTTCATTTGCTAATTTTTTATTCTTGAGTGACATTATAATAGAAAAAATAAGGTTTGTAATAGTTTGACGAAGGGAGTAGAATAAAAAAAAGAAAATAACATTAGATTTTTATTAATCGTAGAGTTGATGAATTCAAATCACTCATCGTTTTCAATTTAGACCAACTCAAAACAAAACTAAATAGACCAACTCGAATTTTTTTATTAGAACTAATTAGATTTTCATATATTTGCGGATTTTTTATATATCAAACCAGTGCACATCAAATTATAAAATACTTTAAGAAAGTTTTCTTAATTAAATTTAGTATTTTTAGATTTTCCTTTCATATTCTGATTTTGATTTTAGAGACCGTTTAGTAGTACAGAAATTAGTTGAATCTGTTGAAATGGATGAAATTCTGAGAGAAGTAATTGAATTAGTTGAATCTTTTTCTTGATTTTTCTTAATTTTGCGCTTTTTGCGCTTCAGTATCAATTATTGTTCCCTTATGGTGAAGATGGCTATCGTGATGATACGTCGTTGTCTAGAGGTGGTAATGTTGTTGGAGCTGGCAGAAAGAGAGTGAGTATTCGCGAGTTCCTTGCATTTCGGCTTCAAGAGCGGTGTGACAATCATTCTTCAATGTTAAGGATGAAAAGGCTTTTTCAACAGTTCATTGTTGACGGTCATACCTTGGTTGAGGCGGCGCGTTTGAGGTTTGTTAGGACCCATCAAATCGAACTGCGTTGTGAGATGTATAAAGGTTTGAGTGATGCTTTTTTACGTGGAGAAAGTGATTCACGCACACAGGGTAAGAGAATTGTGTTGCCTCCGACCTTTACCGGAGGAGCACGCTTTATGATACAGAATTATCAAGACGGCCATGGCCATTTGCAGGTGGGCAGGTTATCCTGATTTATTCATAACGTTCACGTGCAATCCAAGATGGCCAGAAATCGATCATTTCTTGCATCCGAGGAATTTGAAAGCGGAAGATCGTCCAGATATAGTGAGTCGTGTTTTCAAGATCAAGCTCGACGGTTTGATTAGAGATCTACGGAAGAATAGAGCTTTTGGAAATGTCAGGGGAGGTAATGTCACCTCTTCAATCCTTTTTAGATTAACCTCCTGTCGATGTTATTTAACATTATTTGTTTATTTTACAGTGGTCTACACAATTGAATTTCAGAAACGTGGTTTGCCACATGCCCATATATTGCTTTGGTTAGCAACAAATGATAAATTGCCCTCGCCGGTTGACATAGATAGGGTAATATCTGCAGAAATTCCTGATATAAACGCTGACCCACTGTACTATGCTGCTGTGAAGAACTTTATGATGCATGGCCCTTGCGGTAATGTTGCAAAATCTGCGCCTTGCATTGTTGACGGTAAATGTACCAAGCATTTTCCTAAAAAATGGTGTGAGGAGACGACAGTGGACGCCGACGGTTACCCAATCTATAGGAGGAAATGTGATGACCGCAGAATAATCAAAAATAAGGTTGATTTGGATAATAGATTTGTTGTTCCACACAGCCGTTATTTATTGATGAAATATGGAGCCCATATGAATGTGGAGTGGTGTAATCAGTCAAGGTCAATCAAATATTTGTTTAAATACATAAACAAAGGTTGTGACCGGGTCACAGCAGGGTTTTACCAAACAACTGATGCTGAGGCAGGACAAAAGCCAGTTGATGAGATACAAATGTACTACGACTGCAGATACATCTCCTCTTGCGAGGCTGCTTGGCGCATATTTGGTTTTGAAAGTCAATATAAAACCCTGCATGTTAAACGCCTGAGCTTCCATTTACCAGGAGAGCAGAGTGTTGTTTTTCGCGACGATGAGCCTCTCGATTCAGTGGTTCGAGCATGTTCTGTTAAGGAGAGTATGTTCACAGCGTGGATGGAGGCCAATAAGAAGTACCCGGAAGCAAGACTTTTGACATATGCAGAGTTTCCTCAGAAGTTTGTTTGGAAACAAAAGACAAGAGAATGGTCTCCCAGAAAACAAAACTTTGCTATTGGTAGAGTTTATCATGTCCATCCCGGCAGTGGTGAATCTTATTACCTCCGATGTCTTTTAAATCATGTTCGTGGTGCAACAAGCCATCAGGACTTGAGAACCTTGAATGGTGTCATTTATGATTCTTTTCGTGATGCATGTTATGCGTTGGGCTTACTCGACGATGATAAAGAATTCATTGATGCTTTCACAGAGGCAAGCCATTTCTCATCTGCCTTTTGTTTGAGAATTTTATTTGTGATATTATTGTGGACAGAGTCAATGGCAAGACCTGAGTATGTTTGGGAAAAATGTTGGTCCTTCATGGCTGATGACATCCAATACATGCGGAGGAGAATATTACAACATCCAGGTTATGATTGTCAAACATACTAATGAATCTTAGATATTTATTTTTCCATCCATACTTTCTATTTTCCTCACACTAACTATTTATCATATTCCAGATCTTATTCTTTCTGACGACCAGTTAATGAGGTTTGCTCTGGAAGAAATTGAGAGGTTATTACTGTGACACCGCACCCGAATGTCCTTGGAGATTTGATTTAAATATTCAAAGTTTATGTATTGGATTTCTGATTCCCAAACAATTGTAAAACGATTAATGTTTTACGTAATTAATGATCGAATATTGTACTGTTCGAACTCGTATATTAGTGTCGGACATACAGATACTATTTGGGACTTATTAATAGATAAAGGAGCCCAACATTTTCTAAATAGTAATATATGACCTTTCAAGACAATTTGAGGAAGGTCGGGCGACCCAAACATTATTTTGGGCCCAACCTGCTAAAAATAGCAAGTATTCGAGAATGGCGTTCTAGACCCACTCGGGAGTGACCCACACGGCTAGTAGCCCTATAATATGTATGACAAATGTCAAATAAGTGATAGAATGATTAAAGAAGAATACAAATGCCTATAACCCCATCTTTGGCCTTATTGAGCTAAATAATGGGAGTAGGATTTTCCTTCTATAATATCCATTAAGTAAATTATTGGGATGAGCCTACACATATTGGAGATCAATAATGTGATTTAGGAAGTTGACTTGTTCTAAATAAATTAGGATGAGTACAAAAAGACATCTTTGACAAAGATAAAACAATAGGACCCATCTTCCCATTTTTTGGAAGTATTGGTAGATATTTTGGACCTCAAATTGATTGAGATCAATTGGGGGGCATTCCATGTGGCTTGAGTACCTGCAAGACAAGGAAAATATGTGAGAAGACTCACCTTGGCCGCACCACATGGAGAAGCACTGCCCATGACACAATTGGAATCAAATTTTGGGGCCACCACCACTATTTTCGCACAAACAGGTGTGCTGTTTTGTCTCCCTTCATTTTGAGAGTTGTACTCGCCCAAATAGCTTGATTACGGTGTCCTTGGATAGCCTTTGAAGTCTATTTTCATAATTGAGTGGTCTCTGTTCGAGAGGAGAGAGTAATCATACAAAAATCGAGCTGGAGTGAGCAGTGGTCTGTAAACTCGAGCTCTGAGAGTGCTGAAGCTGTTTGGTGTATATCTCGAGTTATACCAATCCAATTAAGGCGTATAAGATACCAAAAGAAAGCTCTCAAGACGAGGAATCCGTGAAGGTCTGGTTTGCATCAATCGGAGTAGTGGAAGGTTTCCAAATCGTCCGAGAAAAACGAAACCTCGCAGAAACGGATCTACACCTCTAAAGTGAGTTGTTAACCCCAAAACCTTTCCTTTCATTTTCCAAATGATATGAACGATTGGTGGAACTATTGTACACTAATCCAAGTGTGTAATATGTCCTTGTAAAGTTATTTTATTGATGTAATGGTTAGATACTAACCTAGAGTAAATCTTGGAAAACTAGGAAACGAGCTAACCGGAAAACACCCATTCTAGGGGCTGTTTTCGTATCAACGTTTGAGGGTTGAGCTAGCACTTTGAGGAGGCTGTTTAACACTCATATTTAAGCAAGGAATCAGTTCTTAATCCACCTTGGCCAAAGCTTTGACCATTGGATCAAGAAAGAAAAGTTTAAAGCTCAATTAAGGTGAGGACCGACATCTAGTTGCTTACAACTTGTAGGTTATGCATGAGATTACCTAAATGCTTAAATCATGTTTTTGTGAATAAATATGCTTGAACATGATATGAATGATAAGTAATGGACTTGATCATGAATTGAAACCATATTGATGAATATGGAACCATGTGAGATGGAAGTATGCTAATATGGTAAATTGACCTTTCCAATTCATGTATGAATGTTATGTGTATGTAAATGTATAATTGCATGATGATGTTTAACACATGGGAGGCTGCCACATATCTATTGATATGGAGGGGCTACCATTAATGATAAATGAGTTGTAGGAATAATCTTAATAGTATTGTGATGCTAGTTAAGGATTGTCCTAAATGTGTTAGAATCAAACTCAAGGTTTGAGTTTGTTTGTGATGAACTTGAATGAGATTCAAGTGTCAATTGTGAAATCATGGAGTAGGAGATCTATGGTGTGATATTATGAAGTAGGAGATCTATGGGGTGATTTTATGAAGTAGGAGATCTATGGTGTGATTACATGAAGTAGGAGATCTATGATGCGAGTGCATGATGATGTACTCGAGCCGAACTCTAGAAATGAGAAGTTATATTAGGGTTGGACCCTATGTATGTCGTGACTATTAGTCACGGGGTTTGGGAAATGTTTTGTGATAAACATGGGCCTTTGAGCCGACTACTTGACTTTATATAAAGTAAGTATATATTTTGAAGGGGTAATTTGGGATTACAGCCTAAACTATATTATCACCCTACTTGAGGGTCTTGTGTGTGAAATACTTGTTGTATATCTATTAGATGCCTGCCACACCAGTACTTTATAGCCGTATAGAGTACTGACCCCTTCGGGGGCGTCCCACCACCATTTCAGGTTGAGGCTAGAGCTTGCATCCTGTGCTCGTTGATCGAGTGATCCCTAGGAGAGAAGACTTGGTTCGTGCTTCCTCCATTCCATTTGAAACATTAATAAATTTGCTCATGGATATTTTACTATAGAGCCTGCGTGTTCATGAAATGCCTTGTGTGGCCTTCTTGTTTTAAACAATGTTTTCCGCTGCGTTATGAATTACTTATTATGTTTGTTTATGGATGTATACGTGTGAATGATATTCAAGACGCCTTGTATAATATGAATGTGTTGGACTGCGGTTGACTATTCGTATTGTACGGCGGATTGTCGACGTGTCCGGGGAGGTCCGGGGCGTGACAATTACAAACCCGTGGGAAAAGTTTGCGCGATTACCCCCCCCATGCCTACAGTAGTTCTCGATTCACTATTATCTTCTAATGACAGACTTATATTTTAAGAATTGCGTTATGATCAAAGCGCAATGATAGCGGAACATTCTATGTTGTTCAATTCTCTTACGGATGAGCAACTGCAAGTATATGATACAATAATGCTGTCTGTTGATGAAGAGGTTGGTGGTATATATTTTGTTTATGGCTACGGAGGTTCAGGAAAGACGTTTGTGTGGAAGACCCTTTCTGCAGCCATTAGGTCTAGAGGTGAGGTTGTCCTTAATGTTGCATCGAGTGGTATTGCATCTCTTCTGTTGCCGGGAGGACGCACCGCTCACTCTAGATTTGCAATACTGATAAGTCTTAACGAAGACCTCACGTGTCATATTAAACAGGGAAGCCCGCTTGCCAAGCTAATTGTACGGTGTAAGTTGATTATATGGGACGAAGCTCCAATGTTACATAGGTTTTGTTTTGAGGCATTGGATCAGAGCATGAGGGACATTATGCGGTTCCACAAACCAAATTGTGGTACTCTTCCATATGGTGGAAAAACAATGGTATTCAGTGGTGATTTTCGACAAGTGTTGCCGGTTATACCGCGTGGGAGTAGGCAGGATGTCGTCAATGCAACCATTAATTCATCATATCTTTGGTCACAATGTACTGTCCTCCAACTCACAAAAAATATGCGTTTGCAAAACTTGACAAATCCTTCAGATTCTTATGATTTGAAGTTGTTTTCGGATTGGATTGCTAGCGTTGGTGATGGTGTTGCTGGTGACTTGAATGATGGCCATGTGTTGATTCCTATTCCTGACGATCTATTGATACACACTAATGGAGATCCTATAGCTGCGATAGTAGAAAGCATATTTCCAGAATATGTTATATCTGCAGCAGATGTTAGTTGTTTGCGTGATCGTGCAATTTTGGCACCCACCCTGGCTGTTGTTGAAGCTGTTAATGAATATATGACGGCGCTTAATGTTGGCGAAGTTTCAAGAACATATCATAGTTCTGACACTGTTTCTAAGTTGGACTCCACAACAGATCTTATGGCAGAACTGCACACTCCTGAGTTCTTAAATAGTATAAAATTGTCTGGTGTGCCGAATCATGAGTTGACGTTAAAGGTTGGGACCCCGGTCATGCTGTTGAGAAATATAGATCATTCTATGGGGTTGTGTAATGGTACACGTCTTATTCTAACGAGACTTGGTGATCATGTTTTGGAGGGGAAGATTTTGACTGGTGTGAGTGCCGGACAGAAAGTCCTGATTCCAAGATTGTCTTTGACGCCATCGGATACTTCCTTACCTTTCAAATTTCAGCGGCGCCAGTACCCTATAATGACGTCATACGCGATGACGATAAATAAAAGTCAAGGTCAATCTTTGTCCCGTGTTGGGCTGTTATTACAAAAACCTGTATTTACTCACGGACAATTGTATGTTGCAATTTCTAGGGTGACCAACCGATGTGGTTTGAAAATTTTAATTGTTGGTGATGATGGACGAACCACTAACAAAACTCAGAATGTGGTATTCAAAGAAGTTTTCAACAACGTTTAAGGTTGATTGAAATGGATATTTACAGTCTCACTGTTTTGGAATATATCTATGTGTTGTTTTTTCTTTACTTTCCCGTGATGTTTTGTATTCTCAGTTCACCATAATATTAAATATGTGTTTTGTCAATTGCGTTTTTGGTATCTTTATTGCGTGACATTGTTTAGTGTCGTCAATAATTACAGTGGTGGACCTTATTAACTACAATACATTAAAAAAAAATCTCATGCCGTGCATCGCACGGGTGAGATTACTAGTATGTTTAAAACAAACCAATAGTGATAAATATATATTTTCATATTTGTCCCTTTTTCCTTACAAATAAAGAATAATAAATTGAACTAAATTTAGAAGTTTTGTTTTATTAGCACTTGATGTGTTTATTATTTTCATTTGCTAATTTTTTATTCTTGAGTGACATTATAATAGAAAAAAATAAGGTTTGTAATAGTTTGACGAAGGGAGTAGAATAAAAAAAGAAAATAACATTAGATTTTTATTAATCGTAGAGTTGATGAATTCAAATCACTCATCGTTTTCAATTTAGACCAACTCAAAACAAAACTAAATAGACCAACTCGAAATTTTTTATTAGAACTAATTAGATTTTCATATATTTGCGGATGTTTTATATATCAAACCAGTGCACATCAAATTATAAAATACTTTAAGAAAGTTTTCTTAATTAAATTTAGTATTTTTAGATTTTCCTTTCATATTCTGATTTTGATTTTAGAGACCGTTTAGTAGTACAGAAATTAGTTGAA